TCTTCTTTCCTCACTCAACCGATTACAGAGCATAGCCCATGAGACTAGAGGTGCATGCTTGGGTACAGTCAGTGTTGCAACGGGAGTAGAAACCACAGGCATTTGAGCAACTTTTTAATGTAACTTGCTTGTATCCTCAGGACCTGCTTGGGCCAGATCACATCTATACCACTTCCATTTGATAACAGATTTCAGTTGTGTACATCCTACTTTTATGACTTGGTGGGTCAGAGGATACCCAGCTCATGCTGATCAATGCAAGTTGCATGGTAACTTTGCAGCCCATTGTCAAACACACAGCTTCCACTGGGACCAACAACAGGTCAAGAACTGTCTGACAGAGGGAGAACAGTTGTCTGCAGATGATGGCACAGCCCTGCTCCAAGAGGCTCCAAACAGCATCCTCATCTGTCACTGACACCTCCTGTACCATCAGGCCTGCTGCATCATATGGTCCAAGTGGTAGAGCAGCCTGCACAACAGCCTGGACCTGTTGAAGAACCATCTCCTGTTCCAGGCTCCACTCAAAGCTAGCAGCCTTCCAAATCACTTGGTACATGGACAGGAGTAACACCCACGTGGGGGATGTGCTGTCTCCAGAATCCAAATAGGTCTACAAAATGTGCTTCTTTCTTGGTTGTGGGAGGGGCCAAATGCATAAGTTAACCTTCACCAAAGAAGGAATATCTTTGCATGCCCCTACACCATTGGATCCCTAAAAATTTCACTGAGTCAGAAAGCCCTTGAATTTTTGGCTGGATTTATTTCTCATCTTCTGATATGGGCATATTATCAACAAGTACAAAGTGGTTGCTACCTCTTGCTCACTAGGTCCAATCAGCATGTCATCAATATTGTGAACCAATATGATATTTTTTGGAAAAGACAGATGATCAAGATCTCTTTGAACAAAGTTATGATACAGGGCTGGAGAGTTAATATACCCTTGCAGCAAAACTGTAAAGGTATATTGCTGGCCTTACCAAATGAAAGCCAACTGCTTCTGGTGGTTCTTATGGACAGGTACTAATAAAAAGGCATCTGCTGGATCCATAGGTGCATACCACTACATACCAGGGGATGTGTTAATCTGCTCAAGTAAGAACACCACATCTGGTATAGCAGCTGCAATTGGAGTCACTACTTGATCAAGTTTTCCATAGTCAGCTGTCAATCTCTATGGTTCATGTGTCTTCTGCACTGGCTAGATAGGAAAGTTAAAGGGAGATGTGGTTGGCGCCAACGCCCTGCATCTTTCAAGTCCTTGATGGCGGCACTAATTTCTTCAGTTCCTCCTGGAATGCAACATTGCCTCTGACTCATTGTTTTCGCTGGCAGGGGCAACTTCAATGGCTTCCATTTAGCTTTTCCAACCATAAGAACCCTCACTCCAATCAGAGAACCAATGTGAGAATTCTGCCAACTTCCAAATATATATTTGGAAGTTGGCAGAATTCTATATATATATCCCAATTATACATTCTGAAACCAGGGAACCCCATGAGCCTTCTGTGAGCTGTATCTGGGCAAAAACTCCATTAATCACTTGACTTCTGTAAGCCCCTACTTTAACTGGAGGGCCACAACATTTCTTGGGATCGCCAAGAATCAGCATCAATTCAGAGCCAGTATCCAATCAACCCTGGGAAGTCTGATTGTTTCCTTTCCCCCAACAGTTACCCTTGTAAAAGGCTATAGGTTCCTTTGAGCAATGACTAAAGAAAAATTAACAGTAAAACTTTTATGTACTTTATTAAGGTCCTTCCTCAAGAGAATCTGATTGTTCTTCATTCGAGGGGTTCTGGGTCTGCAAAATGGCTCAAGTCAGGAAATTGGTTTATAAGCTGAAATTCTCTTTTGCCATGATCCGGTGTAACTTTTCTTTTGTTTGTTTGAGTTTTTTTTTTTTTTTTTTCACTTATACTGTAGGCTTTTTATCTAGTTCATGCCTAGAAATACCATATTGATAAGCCAGTATCAAAGGTCCATATAAGTCATGACACCATAAAAATCATTTTAGCTGTGTTGCCCATTACAGGCTAGGCTACCATGAACATTGTTTGGGCCTCGCTGCTCATTATGATAACATGATCACCTTGCCTTTGGTAGTTCAGTGCTGCCTGGACCCTGCTACTTCAGATCCCAGTTAAACCCACTGCATTTAATTCATCCAACTGAGTAGCAGCATCTCCAAACCTAAGCTCTGACACAAGAGAAAGGGCAACAAAGCTCCCCAAATGTGCTAGTGGCCCTTCACCATTTTGCTGTCTTACAGGATTAGTGAAAGGCATGTCTTTGGGGGCTTCCCACTGTGCAGGATTTGGTTTTACATAGCACACTCACTCCAGCATTGCCTTTTCCCTGACCCTTAAAATCCCTTCAACAACACTAAACGCAGGGATATCAGGCATCTCCAACTCCTCAGTCAGCTATCTTTTCACAAATGCTTCAGTCAACCATTCAAACTTTTGACAAGTTTCCATACTAAAAATAAAATCTCCACTCTGTGGATTCATATCAATAAGCTCAGCCTTATCCAGTTTTATGTTCCTTCCATCATTATTCCACACTCTTAAAATCCATTACTACACATATTCCCCAGACTTGTGCTTAAACGAATCTGCAAACTCGTTAAGTCTTTAGTAGTGTGTGTGGTGCACCTCCTTGTAGTCTACGCTTTCTATCTCTCCTCTAGCAGCCTGCTTAGCCTTATCAGGTTATAGTTCTAGAAGCAACTATTGGTGAGCCCTGAGGGACATCAACATTGGCTTGACTATCATCTCCTTCAGAAAAGGTCACTGATGATTTAGCAGACAATGAAGGATTAATTTCCCCAGTCAAAGGTGAAAAAGGCAATATTTCAGGGGTTGGATGTGTAAGTACATCATTTACTGAGGCTAGAGAGATTCCTTCCTAAGTTAAGATAAACCCTTGAGAATCTGGGGGTTCAAAGTTTTCAACTCCAATAGGGTTCTCCCACACATCTCCACCCCAAGTTATAGGATCCCATTCTTCACAAATTAATGCCCTTTTTTAACCATCAACACCTTCCAACTCAAAACTGACTTGAATTTTCACTGCTATCCAGCCAACTTTATAATGGGGCTTTTGGTTTGATTTGACACAACTTACACTCCATGGCAGCTGGAGAGATGATTCTCTTCCAGGGAACACTTGGAAAGCTTTAGGCTGTTCATGTGCATTCGGGACTAGTTGGTTCTATCACCAAGTTCATTGTTGTCCTACACAGTATCCCACAATGCTAGAAGTTGGTTAATTTGATCATGGAACTCATTCTTTTCCTTTGTCAGTTTGTCCAGAAATGCCAGGAGCAACCAACCAGCATCATCATTTTCCTTATTTTTCCACACATTGTCAAAAGTTTTATACAGAGTTTCCAAATCTGTTGTTTCTCAAAGTTGGCGAATCAGGATAATTAAATGTATTTACCTCCTTATGTTTCTAAAATACTTTGCACCATGGGCCTTTTCTATTCCCTGAGCTTCTAGGACAAGATTCCATAACTCTAGGTGTTGGAAAATTGGAAAGGCTATTCCAGATATTTAAAAAATTCATTCTTATACATCTGTTGCTCTAGAATCACTTTTGGCATCAAAATCTGTATTAGTCAGGGTTCTCTAGAGGAATAGATAAATAGAGATAGATAGATAGATAGATAGATAGATAGATAGATAGATAGACAGACAGACAGACAGACAACAGACAGACACACACACACACACAGACAGACAGAGAGTGATTATGGCTTATAGGCTGTGGTCTAGCTAGTCCAACAATGGCTGTCTACAAATGGAAAAAGTCTAAGAATCTAGTAGTTGTTCAGTCCAAAAGGCTGAATATCTTAGCTGGTTTTCAATATATGCCAGAATCCTGAAGAAGCAGGCTCTAACACCAGTGAAGAAACAGACTTGTCAATGAGAATGAGGAAAATCAGGCAAAACCCAAAAATCTTCTTTCTTCCATGCCCTTTATATAAGCTGCCAGAAGGTGTGTCCCAGATTAAAGGTGGATCTTCCCACCTCAAAAGTGGGTCTTCCTACTTCAAATGATTTAATTAAGAGGAAAAAATCCCTCACAGGTGTATCCAGCTGCATGGATTTTGGCTATTTACATATGTCATCAAGCTGACAACCAAGAATAGCCATCACTACCTCTATCTCTGAGAGGAGCTCATGAGCAGTCACCATGCTTCCTATACTATGCAACTCTGATCTGCTTTCTGTTCCCTAGATATTTAACACCCAGGGCTTCTGTCAACATCATGTCTGCCTCCTCCATGTGTTACCTCCTGCTGCTCTCACACCCGAATGCCACTCTTCTGAGGACACCCACTGTTACCGCCATGTAAATCTGGTTTCTAGACTGTTTCCAATCACCTCTGCTTTCTCCCTTTGCATCAAAGGCCACAAATGGGGGTACTATGCTTACCTGTGTCTTTGTTTACTGTGTCCCCATTAAAAGTGGGAATAGAGCTGAACTTGTCCCCTATGAACTTCCTGCCCACAGAACTGTATCTGGACAGTAGAGAATGTTCAACGAATCTGTAGAGCCAGTCAATCCTTTGACAGAAAGTTTGTGCCTCGGTTTCTTGGCTTGTAAAACCAGAGCTGCCTCTGGGCAGGTGTCACACAGTGGAACCCCAGAGGACTCACAAGGCTGGCCTTTCCCCTCTTTGGTTCCCAAGTTAAATAAATGACAATTTTGTCCCTGTGGCTGAACAATGAGTGATGAAGTATTGCTAACCATTAGCCACCAAGGAGGAAGCATTCTGAACGCCTGGCTTTCTTTTCTTGGATCTGACTCGTCTACAAACCTTGATCTCATCTGTGAAGCCCTGAGATCTAGGGACTAGAACTTGGATTTGGACATGTTCCAAGACTTCCTCTTACTGACTATGTTATTTTGAGATTACTGTTTTGCAAATTTTAGACCTTGGAGGCTGCTCGTGAGTATAAAAATAAGATGTCAAAACAGTTTACCTATGATGTTCACCGTACTATCCACTTCATTTTTTATAGCTGAAGTCAGGACCGCATACTCAGGAGAAAGGTCACTTACTCCATTACTAAGCCCCAAAGATGACTCAACTGGTTCTTGCTAGGAAGAAGAAAAGAAAAAAGAATTGAGAACACTTCCTTTCCCTCCCTTTTCTTAGCTTCCATTCTCCCCTTGTCTAATTTGTTGGACCCTGGGGTTAGTCATTCACGTCATGTCCCAAATGCATCCCCTGCCTCTCTAAATTAGGCTGACATTAAAGAAGCTAGCTATTTGTTTTCTTTCATTTGCCTTCAAGGAAATGTTCTCAGCACATCTGGCCTTCAGGAAATACCTGCAGCTGCAGAGTCAAGCTCTGTGACTGAGCAGAGCTGCAGCACTGTCACACAAGTCCGGTGCTGCACAGGTCCCAAGTCTTCCTCCTCTGAGTGAGGACACAGAGGAACCAGGATTCTCTCTGAGGGAGAAGCTGTACCCCTGCTTTTGAAGTCACTCTTAGGACAAACTGTGCCTCCATAATCAGCCAGTGACAGGAGCCCAGTGGCAGGTGGCGAGTACTCAGGTACACTTTGTGGTGGGGATACAGCTGCTCGAGCGCACTGCACTGGTGGTCCAATGATAGCATAAGCCACTGCCTCAACTGAAGCCTCCTCTCACTGGCCCAGCACCAGGCAGGCAACCCACCTCCACAACTTGACATAAATGTCCTTGTGCCTAAAACTCCCACTCAGTCCAAGAAGCTACACAGTGGCTCTGACAAAAGGAGAAAGGGTCTTTCCTTGCTTAAACTCTGCATCTCTTCTTCATTCAAGTGTACTTGAACCTTCCACTCCCTGAGAGGACTGACCAATCAAGGAAAACAAGTCCTGAGGTACACATGACTCTTGGAACTTAGATAAGAGCTCTTCCTCCCAGCAAGACTACATTTGTTTCAATGATAGCAATAGTCCCCCCGCCCAAAAAAAAAAAAAAAGCCATATAAGACAACTCCCGAGGAATCCAAAATGGAAGAAGAGGCTGGAGGAGAATGAGGACGGGGCTGGAAGCAGAGGGGTACTGTGGAAGTGGTACATCAGGAGAACTTGGCATTCTAAGGTATATGAGGAATTCTCATCAGTTGCTCACACTGGGGAATCAAGATCAAATTGCATATAGTCTCCATGATCCTCTGGCAAACTCCCATGACAATTATGGCTTTAAAGGCATTGCCTTGATGTTCAGTTCAGCTTGAGAAAAGCTAAACAAAACAAAACAACAACAAAAATCTCACAGTAAGGTTTGCCAGCTTACCAAAGGTCAAACATCCGGAAGGGCCCAGGGCCGGCCCACTGAGCACTAACTTCAGCCCTTTCTCCCTCAGCATCTCATATTTTTTCCTTGTTAATAAGTTCCAATTAAAGGCTTGCCATTTGGTGGAGGGGGGGCTTACCAATTTTCCTTCCAGTCAAACATCTGAACAAATGCCTGCTTTTGCTAACTCTGCCTCCTGCATGCATGCCCTTGAAAAGTCCTATGGTCCTGCCTTGTCTCCATTGGCAGAATAAAACCCCCAGAGAACATGCTAAGAGGACTCTGGAGCCAGGGTCTGTCTGACTCTGCTTCTCACTAGTCTGCAGGCGGAATTTAACCCTGTAATCCCTTCTTAAGGCATTGCAGACGTCAGTGTGCTGAGAACAGTAATGGGTTCCATGCTACCAGGTGAGGTGAAGCTTAAGGAGAGACGAGGCATTCATTATCGAAAAATGGTTGCAACCAACAAAGGTCACCAATAAAACTTCCTAAATCCATTGGCCCCTTTCGCTAGTCCCTTCCCCTTAGCTCCATCTTCTGGCCCCAACAGGGAGGGCATTGTCTCCCGTGCGTACATGCACGCATGCATGTGTTTGAGACAGGGTTTCTCTGTGTAGACCTGGCTATCCTTGAACTCTCTCTCTGTAGACTACTCTGGCCTTGAACTCAGAGATCCTCCCGTTTCTGTCTCCTGACTGTTGGGTTAAACACTGCACCATGTCTCCCTTCTCCACAGCCTGAACCCTGAGACACTGCTAAGTGTGCCCACCTCTCACCCTGGCTCTCAATGGCCCAGAAAGGACAGGAAGAACTGATTCTCTGTGAGCTTCTTTTGTCTCCCACCCCTTTTTTAAAATTCTATTTCTAGATTTCTTATCAAAGTAATAAAAACTGGATTATTCTGACTTTGCAACAGAGACCTTTAAGTGTTTCACGTGATCTACAGTGTAACTGGCGGCAAGTGACATTTTTGTCACTTCTTGTGAGAGAAATTTATGACTCACTAAATTAATTTTCCAGGATCATGCTCCATTTAGCCTGGTGAGAGGCAGGAACTGAGCTAAGCATTTGCCTATGCAGCAGGTTCAAGTTCAGGGGCCTCTGTCTTCTGCATCCATCCTGACAGAGGCCCAGATGGACCAGGATGGAATAGAGATAGATGGGGTGGACCCCTGCTTCCCTCTGCCTACCTGGAGCTCTGCCTGAGGCAGAATTTCAACCAGTGGCCACTGGGAGACTATTTTGAACTTGCCTTACTCCTCCTGCTACCACTCAGGGCAAACTGTCATTGCTACTGTCACTCATAAGGGACAAAACAGTAACTTGTGCTGTACACCTCCCTGACAGGTCTCCTCTGAGGGTGTGGAGCAAATGATCCCAAGAGAGAAGCTTCAAAAGTCCAAAGTTTTGAAATAAGTACAAATGGGGATATCAAAAGCTAAACTGGGCCAGGAGATGGCTCAGCAGATAAAGGCACTTGCTGCCAAGCCTGATGACCTGAGTTCCATACCTGAGCCCCACATTGTGGTAGGAGAGAACACACTCCCCTAAGTTGTTCTCTGGCTGCCACCATACACTGAATATATGGGCATGTGCATGTGCACAGACATATCAATAAATAATAAATAACATAACACAAACATTTAAAAAAAACCTAAATTATAAACCCAAGGATTCCAAACTGTGAAAAGAGGTGACAGTTCTCTATGAGCATGCACAGAGACAGTGTAAGTGATAGATGTTCTATCCTGATCACCTCTAATGGTCCATTTCTGCCTTGTCTCAACAAAACCGCATTCTAGCCCAGCGAGTAAGACAGAGGCTCTTGTACAAAGTGATACCTGTGGCTACCTTGGTTTCTAAGTCTCTTGCCCTGCCCTAAAGAAACTAAACAAACAAACCATGCTCAGGCAGATTCCCTCCAAGTTGCATTAATCCTGCCAAATATTTAAGCTCAAAGACATCTTCTGCAATTACAGAATACAAGATCTAGTGTAGAACTTAAAGGATTTGTAAGCAAAAGGAAATGGGCACAATAGAGAGTTTTAATGGTGAGTTGTAGTCATCCTTACAATTGTGAAACATCCTGCTTTAGTGGCTTTCCTGCTTGGCTTGCTAGATGGGCTTAGAGTGGACCTGAGATAAAGTAGCAGAGGAGCTGGCAGCTGGAGCCCCTTCTGCCTTACTCTTGTGCTAAAGCACTTTGTCTAGATCTGTCTAGGCAAAGACAGACCAGTAGAATGACCATAAGAACATTTCCCACCCTGACCTACCTCCTGTCCCAAAATGCTCTCTTAAAGTCAATTTGAAGACATCAAATCTAAGGGCATCTCCAGAGCTCTGTTATCAAAAGGTCCAGGCTAAGCTTCACAAAGGCAGGGAACTGAACCCTGGAGGGTGCACAGGCCCCACCACAGCAGTCACAGCAGCACAGAGAACAACTGTGGCACAAACTTCAGCCTACAGTTATCTTTCCTTCCTGGCGCAAGGCTACCGTTATTTGACTCTTCCCTGTCTCTCACTGCAGTTTCTCTTTTGACCTTTGTCCTTGGCTCATTCCTCTTTTCCTTTTCTTTCCCTTCATCTCAGAGATGTCTTAGAGAAGGCCCACTCTCAAGGCTTCCAAAGTTGTTCTGGAATGAATGATTGCAACTTTGACCCTCATACAGCATGCATTTGCTTGCCAAGGCTGTCTCTCATTTCACTCACAAACAAGCTCCAGGTCTAGTATTCCCTTCCTGTATCACCCTCTTCAATCTGTTCCTGTCTTTACTGTCCGCTCCTCTCCATCGCATTGATCACCATCTCTGTCTATACTTGCTGGAGTCTGTCACTCTCTCCCTCCTGCTATGAGCTGCCATTAAATATAAACCCCACTGGGTCCTGAAACTTTGCCCCAAGTAGTTTAACTTTATTTCCTGAAGTTATCCATAGAAGTGTGAACAGGAACTTCCGGTAAGAAGCTGAGTCTGGAGAAACTGATCAACTTAGAATAGAACTTCAGTAATAGAAGGAAATTGGCATGTTGTAGACTCAGTACCAATTAGCTTACCATGAGGTAGCTTTAGCCTCCATAATAACCATCCTTGCCCCCTCTGTGTCAAAGTTAACTTCTTGTGACTAATCAATAAGAACTTTAAAAAATACATTAACATATTAGTCTACTATCTTCCACCATCTCCAAAACTAAAAGTGTCATCAGATATGAGGCCTATGGAAAGGCTGCCCCATCTCTCTGTAAACACCTCCCTCACAGGCCCATCTATGTACGTATTTTAAACTTTCTTGACTTGTGACTTTTTTGATTATGCAAAACTATAAAACGTCATGGAACTGCTACCACATTGGAACATGGAATTTAGAGTGACCTAAATCTATGTAGCAGAGCCACAGTCACTCAAATATAGCTCTAGAATAAAGTATTATTTCTTTCCTTTAAGGTGAAAGCTATTGTTTCTGTGTCCATAGAAATGATTTAGCCCACCAGCAGAAGGGGAGGACCAGAGATGCTCCTAGTTGGCTTCATCCTCCGAGCCTGCTTTATCCAGAGCAGTTCTGGTGTGTTTTCAACAGAACGCTGAAACAGTTTCCACTCTAAAGAGTGTTCTCAAGCAAGGAAGGGGCTGCTGCAGGAGCAGCTCCCACAGACGGTCACTGCCCTGTCTAACTGGGAATCCACAGTTTGAAACCAGTTCTCGTCTCTGTCACAGGAAATAGTCCTTCGAGAAAGTTCTATGGAACTGTCTGCTTTTCCATAACTTCTATCCACGTCTGCCCTCAGAACTAACAGAGACTTTCACAAAGTGACTTTA